AAATGAGTTTACCATTTCCTTCCCAATTAACAGTTTCACCAGCATTTGCAGGAGAACCCAGAGTTTCTCACGCTGAACATTTCCTGCCCATTATGCCCTGGAGATATTCGAATTCAGCACGCTCGCATGATCAAACCGCTAGAACAGGCATCAACTGCATTACAAGATGTACCCGAGTCAAACCGCAATAGACGGTATTTTATAGCAGACTCTGCTTCCAGAGATACAGCATCGCAATCAAGCTCGACTAGTCACACTACCAGCTTAGACCCTAGTGAATTCCCCAGAAGCCCTGTTTCGCCCATAACACGCACCCTCGGCTTCTCTGACCTTATGACAAAGCATTCGAATACGACTGTCACGGAGCTGATCAGTCCACTTTCATCGCATGCCTCTTCTGATCAGTTGCGCGAAAGACAGGGCACCAGGAGTCTTTCTAGGGAGCTCAAAAGCGTGAAAATATCTTTCCCAAGCGGGGCGTCACTATTCAGAAAAGCCTCCACCAAGCAGAAGTTACCGCGGCAGCCACGGTCCTGCTTCTCCGCGACAGGACGGACTCTGCTCATATGGGGGGCGGGTACCAGCTGGGTCATGCGGTTTGAGCTTTCAACTGTGGAAGGGCAGAGGAGCAAGTGTCACAGATACGACGTGTCTGGGGTTCAGTATGCTGCAGCGGGAGACAAACGTTGCGCTGTGATCGCCGCTGTTGGAGAGGTATTCGCGTCTCGATTCTGCCTGTTGATCCTGTTGACTCTTTTTCGGTTTGCTAACATGTCTCTAGCATCTCGAGCTGCTAATATTCGAGAGCACTGGTACCATCGCTGATGCGTACCTGACGATTGAGTCTGGACTCCAGAATCAGTCCATACCATCTATATGTATGACCATGTCACGTAACGACAGATTTGTCGCCTTCACTATCAGGGAAGAGGTCCGAGTATATGAGATCGGTGCAGGAGCTATACGAAGAGTTCCATTGGGTGAGCATTTGGATCGATACCCGTTGCTTGGAGAAGAGCCGCCTTCGGAAACGGCAATTCCTTCAAAGGAAGGACAATACGCCAACAACCAAACCAGACCAAAGGCAGTTATTGAGCGAAAGATCCAATTCTCCGTCGATGAAAAGCACCTTGTGGTAGCAACGCACCTGGGCGACCATTGCGCTTATGTCGATGTCTGGGGCTGGAATGCTGGACAATGGATAATCACGCCGGACAAGTCAAGGTCGTTCAAACTTCCGTCAGTAAGTGACATCACTTGGGCGATTGTCGCGGCTTTGGTGCTAACTTCTCAAGTGGATGGCCAATGATGGGGACCTCACGTGTGTTTTTTACGACAGCTTCCATTTCACTGTCATAATGACAGCATTCCTAGGAAGAGAATCTCCGATGCTAGTCTCTCTTGCTGACCCGAACATCGTCAGCGATCCGCTCAGCATAAGGATCGTTCATGCAGCGCAATCGCCTTCAGGGACACGGTTCGCCATGGCAAATGGTGCAGGCGAGATCTACATGTGCGAGTGCAAGGCCAATACTCTCCTCGCTCCATATCAACTAAAGAAAGCTTCGACCAAGATAAGCCTGGCTGCTTTCAAACCTGGGAACTTGACACTATCCTTCCCACAGGAAAATGAGATTCTTGTCTTTTGGGCCAAGGATGGTAAATTGTTACTCCGAGCAATCAGGTACAGTGAGGGTGTGGAGGTAATTAATGATTTTGACCTGCGCCCGGACTTTGACCGTCTAGTTGTGGAACGGGTCCCAGCTGGGAATTCTCCAGCACAGCGAAGACAGAACTCATCACTTTCAAATCAGTCAGTTGCGGAGATGGATGCGACGACGCCTGTTCGGAGACCTGACATGGCGGAACTGCCAGCGAGATTACAGTAAGTTGCGCTGATACAATCAACGCAAAGCGGTGGTAGTCTGGAATTTAGTCCATGGTTTTATAGGCACATGTATCGATGTGACAAAGATGTCACGGAATCTGGCCGCCCACAGTATCAGAAACACTGTTTTTGTAATTAGTCGGCGTCAAGCCACTCTGCTGTATGTTACAGGAGAGGAGATGTTGACAGCCGCTCAAAGAGGAAAGTCAGGTGGTGACACACGGAATAGCAGACCTAGACTATACCACAAATGGCTAGAAAGGGGAGTGTTCTTGCCCGGAATACGAAATTATCCGACTTCCGCTGATTGCTGAGTGGTGATCGACGTCACCACTAGCAATGATGAGTTAGCTGTGGAGGGTTGCTTCTGGACGACAGAGCACTCAACACTTGATGTCTAAGAGTCCGGAGCAGCTGGGATTTTAGCTTGCCATTCTAGGTGAGTAAACATGCTAAAGAGATTATCTGCAAGCCTGGCCATCGGGTTATCAGCTCAGCATCAGACAATACCTGTCTAGATCAGAGGCTTCAGAGCATGCGACACTCAATTGCCCCACCCACTTTATTGGTGTAGCTGGGCCTTTGGACTAATACTTGACTTGTCCTTGTTCATAAGGCAAATAGGCAGATTGAATTGCAATCTCATGCTCTGCCCACCACTTTCTTAACGGCCGCTGAATCCTACCTGGAGCATTTTATTAAGTTGCTGAGTGACTGTACGTTGCATCTCGGCGTCGACGTCATCACTACATCCCCCGGCACTCGCACACGAGCTTCGGATTCCCGAGAAGCCGACGACACATGATATCCTCTCCACATCACTCTTGCTCTCAATTGTTTTCTTTCAACTCTATCAACAATGTCGCAGCCTGCTTTCCAGTTCGATCCATCGCGCCGGCCGTCGCAGGCCGAGAATCAGACCGTGCTGAAATCCGAGATCCCGCTGAAGGAACGATTCTTCCGTTACTTCCAACATGAGATTACCGGTATGTCTCTGTGGTATTTGTCGTTTTGTGTTTGTTACGAGAATCATCTGACGTCGACGTACCCCCTATAGCTCTTCAGGAAGAGATGGACCGTCTGGCAGACACGTCCCTCATAGGAGGGGAACGGACGGATGCAACTGACCATTGCCTGGCTGGAATTGCAAGACTGTCTAATGAGGTTAAGGATGCAGCAAGCTATATCCCGACCTATGATCAACGTGTGTATGCAGAGGTATGTCAAGGACTGTCATAACCTTGGTGTGTACCTGGTTGATGGTGTTGTCTTGTCAGGCCATCAAAGCACTTCAGGACAAGCTTGCCGAGACACGCTCTGCGTTTGAACCACGCCCCAAATTTACCTTCAAGACAAAGAAGAATGCATCCGCTGTCTCGCTGTCAGATGCGGCCGAACTAGTTGCCCAAGGCCACGGGGCCTTGCCCGGCTACCGCTCCCCAGGGGAATCTTCGGTCAATTCGTCCGCTGGCCAGACGCCGAATTACCCATCTACACCTTTGTACGAACCAGATTTCCTTCAGCCCCACCGGCCAGAAGTCGCACCGACGTCGGTTCCGGCCTTTTCCACTGGTATGAGGGAAACTGAATCGAAATCCAAAGGAGACTCCCATAAGGGTAAGGCCTTCGCAGCCACTGCTGTGTCTTCTGTCTCCGTAAACGATCATTATGGTCTCCATATTATGCTTCCTGCATCAGGCTCGACAGCGGCTGTACCTGCATCTATCACATCTTTGAACCATTGCATCGTTGATATGTCCATACCGACTGCAAACGGCAAGCCATATGCCAGTCTTACTGTCAAGGATGCCGACGAGAGCTTATTGATCTGTGGCCAAATTGACGGGCCAGCACATATAACCGATGTTAAAAATAGCGTGATTGTGGTGTCGTGTCGCCAATTCCGCATGCACAACTGTACTGGCGTGGACGTGTACCTGAGCAGCTCCAGCAACCCAATCATTGAAGATTGCACCAACATTCGGTTTGGCAGAATCCCCAGAGCATATGTAAGTAATCACTCTCTGGCGAAGACCATTTCGATGCACATACTCATGTTCACAGGCTCTGGACCACGATCGTCCGGATAACGAAGACCGCTGGAGCCAAGTTGAGGACTTCAAATGGATCAGGCCGGAACCAAGCCCCAACTGGAGCTTGCTAAGCCCTGAGGAGTCGATTCCAGAAGAAGTGTGGGCTGAGATTGTTCCCGGTGGCCCTGGATGGTCACTCGAAGACATACTACGCGCGATCAACATTGTCAAAGATTAAATTTGTTTTTCTCTACGATGCACGGTTAACCATGCGATGCAAAGCATTCCTGGAGAGGATTCGCTATTGTTGAATTGTCCCTCAGCCCAATTCTGCTTCGAAGCCGTGCCTTGGGTTCTTCGGTGGTTATCAATGACAAATGGTGCTTCAAGTATTTGGCATACTTCGCAACGGAGAATAGGCGTTTATCTACTTTGAATAGTATATGTCACTCGCAGTTAGCAATCTTTTTTGGTGAATCATTCTGTGCAACTCTCGTTAAATCTGCTTTTTACTCTATATTAGTAACATCCTCAGGCACGGTCATGGCCTACTGAATGGGATTGCGCCTCTCCAAAACAAAGACCCTTTGAATGTACTTTACCACCTTGGTTACCACTTTGCCGGGCTGTATATAAACGTATAATTTAGCTTAGAGCTTATAAATGGCTATTCTTGCATAGCTCTTATTCCCTACTAATCAGTGACTTTGGAAGAGAATGGCCTATTGGGCCTGCATTTCAAGGCATTCAAAACATGTCGGGTATAATGGCTACCCGCTGCCAGCCAATCAGCGGTAGGAGTGGAAGTGGAAATTCGATGTAAAAGTGGAGTTTCGCTCCGCTATTCAAGTTGGCTACTTAGCTACTATCAACAACTAGTCGAAGCTCTCAAGTATCTCACGACCTCAATTATGTCACGATCATCCTTTAAGGGTTATAACTGACCCGTACTGCGCTAATTCTGCCTGGATTTCTATGGATTGTGGCTTGATGATCAATATCGATGTCTTTATGTTGGGAGATGAGAAGGACAGACACTCTCCATCCGTGGCATCATCCTAGAGTCGGCTTAATACAAAATGCCCGCCAACGAACAAAGAAGTCCGGAGAGTCATGAAGAATTCGGCCATTCAAGCTCGACTACAAAACCAAGCAACTCTGCAGTTTCGGAAGATGTGTATGTCGAAGATACCTCTTCTCGCGATTCTGGATATGAAGGCGATATTGAGGTAGTGAAACCGTACGCTATTGAGGAACCAGACGAAGAAGCTCCTAGGGTCGTCCCTAGGTTAGCCATTTCGCCCGCTTCAAATGATGCCGATTCGTGGCAAGGGGAATTGGTGGATTCAATGCAAGATCTCCACTGCGACTCAGATCATCCTGACTTGCGGTGCCGTCCGAGCCACAAGAGAGGAAGGAAGAGGAAAACACCCACCTTCGCGGCAGGAAATTCCGCGCCTGGTCGACGACAGGTCTATGAGACAGCTCCCGATATCCAGTACGAAGGACCTAGTGTGAGTCCAAAGAGATTACGACGACGAAGCATGCGCCCCAAAGAAGGCCAAAGAACTCTCTCACCACGCAGCTCGACTGAAACCGATTCCCCTGCAAGCCTTAGCCTGAGTCCTCAATCAACGGATGCAAGCGGGGCAAGCCCGAGCAATAAACCTAACGCTAGTGATGAAATGGACATAGATTGATTTACACATGCATACTATTTCTAAAATGACTTGAATTGGCGTGATGTTGGTCATTCAATCGTCTCATAGATCACGTGATGATACGCCGTTCTATCGCACCCTAATCCGGAAGGGATTGAGGAACATTCTATGACGTCAGGCGGTTCTCATTGCGGTCACTCACTCCGACTTGGGGCGACTGATGTCGTGGCCCCTTCTCACCTTTGCTCTGCTTGTCGTACGTTTTGATCGCTCACAAATCTGTCGCATTAATCGAGACATCTCAGATCCGCGCAATTGGCCCAATTCTCCATCGCGAGCAAACACAATTCTCTCATAATGGCCACTAGAACATCGTCGCGCCAGGCCGCTCAGAAAGCGAAGGAGGCCATCACAAGCACCAGCGATATCAAGCCAAAGAAGACCGCCGGTGCAAAGCGCAAGGAAACCACCGAAAAGGGACCGGAACCAAAGAAGGGAAAGAAAGTCGATCGCGAGCCAGATCATGAGAAAGAAGAGAAGGAGCAGGAGCAGCAAAAGCGCGAAGAGAAGGACCGGCCAGAACTGAAAGAGCAGGTGAAGGAGGAAGCGGTCCCCGGACCCGGTGAAAAGGACGAAAAAGAGGAACAGGAAAAAGCCGTAAGAAGTATGACCACATTGATGGAATTTCTTACGCCGCGTCTAGCTGACAGTGACCAGAGCTCAGTGAACAGCCTGAAGAGCGAGCAGAGAAGCCAGAACAAGAGCCCAAAGAAGGTGCAAAGGAAGAGGCTGCCCCAGAACCTCGTGAAGCCGAGAAAGAGAGTGAAGAGAAGGGCGCCAAAGGTAATAAAATCTGCGGAGATATTTGGCCAACGCTAACAGTAACTACATGCAGAACCAGAAGAAAAGCCTGCTGAAGTGCCGGCAAAGGAAGGGGTTGAGGCAGGAATCAGGAAGTCGCAAGAACGTGAAGACATTGTACCTTCCAACATTCTCGAAAAGGGAATCATATACTTCTTCTTCCGCCCTCGAGTCAATGTTGAGGATCCACACAGCGTCAAGGATGTTGCCCGAAGCTTCTTTGTTCTACGTCCGACCCCTCTGGGCGCAGTGTTGGACGCCAACCAAGGCACGGTTGCAGCCGACGCACGCTGTCGCTTGATGATTCTGCCAAAGAAGAAGTTCCCTACTTCGGGTAGAGAGAGAGATATGGGATTTGTGGAGAAGGCCGGAATATCCATGAAAGACCTCCACGATAGCTTTATGGTGGGCGAGAAATATGAAACGTCGACTCGAGGAGAACGTGCCGTTCAAGAAGCGCGACCATATGCGGAAGGAGTCTACGCCATAACCTCTGGAAAGCGTGCCTCTCACCTGGCCTACATTCTGACTATTCCGCAAGAACTGGGCTCAATTCAAGATGACTTTGGTCTCCATAGCCAAGGCAGTTGGATTCTTCAGTCGAAGAACCCCAAATATCCTGGCCCGTCCTACGCACATCTTCCCAAAGACCCTGAGTATCCAGAAAGGTGAGTCAATGATCGTGCGATGATAGCATAGAAACTGACATCTTCGTCGCAGCGTCCGTCAAAAATTCGGAGACTATAGATGGGTTCCGTTGGAGCCTGAGTTCATCGACTATCCCAACGCACAGTTCCTCATGATCGGGGAGGCGACCGACGACCTTGGAAAGGCAGCCACCGCAGAGCCGGGTAAGAAGGAGGCACATGAAGAGCAGCCAGGCGAGGAGTTGGAAAAGCTGGAGCAAGAAAACGAGGAGAGAATCGAATCTCTAAAAGGTCAGTTATGCCATGCTCTGCTCCGCTACGTCGCTGACCCGCACACAGGCGACGAAACTGTTTATGAAGACCTAGGACTGGATGCGAAGAACTATCCCAAGGTGCCAACCACCTGGGAAAAGTAGAACCTGGCACTGGTGTACAATAAGCTCGGATTATGATTCCGGACATAACGGACCAGAAACATTCAATGTAGTAATGCTGAACTTGATGTTATTTGTTCTATTCAATGATAGTCCTGCTTTGAAGATGTTCAACGGTGGAAATGAGCTTGCATCAACTGATCTAACCATGAGCTGCAGAAGATGGCAATCGAACGGCTCTACCTACGCCTCCCGAAACGCCAACGACTGTACGGTTTACGCAGCGTCAGATCGGGGCTGTTCAATGTACGAATATTGGAGCCATCTCCATTGTCCAGTGATTCTTATGTGGTGTATTGAACAAACAGAATTACTTGTTCCTTAAAAGGACTGTCATCTAACTAATGCCGGGTGGGGGTTGAGTTTCCTGCAGCCAAGATGATCGGGCTTTCTACTCGTATCTCGGAGCGAATGGGATTGACGATCTTCACCACGTTCAATGCAAGCTGCCAGGATCTCGATCTTCCCACGAGTCATTTGCCTGCTAACACCACGAGGAACCAGATGTCGACATACATACCGCCAAGCGATTCCATCAGGATCATTGTTGTTCATTCGATAGCGATACACAATGCAAGGCACCTTCCGCAGCGTCTGCTCTGATTGGGACGCTCCTCACGTGCCAAGGTTAACCATGAGGAGTATAAAATCGCCCTGCTTTCTTCTCCCCAGTCGAGGATGTCAGGAGATTATCTTTAAGCCGCAGACAGCATCATGAGATTGAATCCATTGGTGAGTGTGCTGCCATTGACAGCCGCCGCCACAGCTGGCGCTCGTACTCCGCACAGTTCGTCCAGTATCGTGAATCAGACAACATGTGGCGGCACAAGCTACGAATATACTGGGCTTGCGGGATACGGATTCATTCCGTCCAATGCGGTTGATAAGTATGGTGATACGTTAGGAGGCTTTGGCAGCGCCGTCGCTATCGATCAAAACTCCTGGCGCAAGACGGGCCGTGACTCGTACTCTGGCATCATCTACTGCTTGCCTGACCGTGGCTGGTAAGTTGCGCTAATACCATGGACATTGAAGGCTTGAATTGAAATCTGATCTGCGTCGATTGTAGGAACACCAACGGAACGCTCAATTTCCAGTCGCGCATTCACAAGCTGGCCATCTTCTTCAAGCTGGCACCAAGTGCATCTGCTGAGAATCCATCGAAGCCGAATCTGCAGCTAAAGTACCTCGACACCATTCTTCTGACCGGTCCCGATGGCGAGCCCACCACAGGTCTTGATGCAGACGCCACGGGCTATGCCTCGTACCGCGGCTTCCCCCCTCTCCCCGCAGCCACATACATCGGCGATGGCTTCGGCGGCGCAGGCAAGGGAGGAAAGAGGATCACGATCGACGCCGAGGGCCTCGTCCTCGACGACGACGGCTCCTTCTGGGTCTCTGACGAGTACGGTCCCTACGTCTATAAATTCAGTAAGAACGGCAGGATGGTTCTAGCCCTGCAACCGCCGCAGGCCTTTCTCCCCCGTCGCAACGGAACCATCAGCTTCAGTGCCGCCAGTCCGCCCCTCTATGCCCCCAACCAAGCGCCTGTGCCAGGGGATCCTAAGACAGGCCGCAACAATAACCAGGGCTTTGAAGCTCTTTCTATTTCCCCGGACGGCAAGACGCTGTACACCATGATCCAGTCGGCGCTGAACCAGGAAGGTGGCCCGAAGAAGAAGAACCGCCAGCCCGCGCGGCTGCTGGAGTATGACATCTCCTCGGGCACACCGGAATACAAGCACGAGTATGCTGTTCTCCTGCCCAAGTACAATGATTATACGGAAAAGGATCCATCGGACGCGGCAAAGGTGGCCTCACAGTCGGAGATCCACCAGCTTCCCACCGGCGATTTCCTTGTTCTCTCGCGCGATTCCGGCTTCGGACACGGGCAATCCGAGTCTCTCTCCGTCTACCGGCACGCGGACGTCGTCTCCATTTCCGAGTCTACGACTGATCTGAAGGGTACATATGACGCTGCGGATGGATCTATCGCTAGCTCGAAGGGTATCTTGGACTCGGGCATCACCCCGGCTGAGTACTGCCCCTTCCTGGACTTCAACGTGAATTCAGAATTAGCCAAATTCGGCCTTCACAACGGCGGCGCGCAGGATGCTGGTCTTTTGAATGAGAAGTGGGAGAGTCTGGCTCTTGTGGCCGTTGACCCGCGCGGACACAAGGATAAGCATTCCAAGAAGACGAGGGAGTATTTCCTCTTCAGCTTTAGTGATAATGATTTTATCACACAGGATGGTAGGTTTCATGAAGCGTTTCGCCTTCTCCAGCACAAGTATGCTGACTACCACTCGTACAGGACGCATGAATTTTGGCCGTTTCAAGTACGCCGATGAATCCGGCTACAACCTCGACAACCAGGCTCTGGTTTTCAGAGTGAGGTTTTAGCTGTGGATGTGCTTCCTCTAGAAATAGTAATGAACATGTGATCCAGCCTATCGATTATTGATAGAAGACATCGTGCTTGGCCGAAACATAAAATCAACATGCATGATGTGCCACGGAAGAGTCAAAGCAAACAAATAGAGTCTGGGATAGCCTTTACCACCATGACTTTCTTGCACTCAATGGTCTCATCATGTCAGTCATGTGTGTATTTAGGTCCTTTCTGATTAGCCACATGTATAAGATTTTACGCCCAATTCAGTCCACATAACCAGCATAGTACATGCTTCCCTACATCTCATTAATTAGGGGATATAAACGTAGCTAGACATCATTATCATTACTTCACTCAGACCCATCAATCGGTCTCTTCCCCTTCGCTTTCTAAGAAGGCCAGAGTCTGTCGACCGCGATTGAGTCTCCGTTGAGGCCGGTTGCTATCACTTTCCTCCTCCACACTCCCCCGGCCCCAGTGCTTTTCACCCTCTTTGATCATGGCGAGGTCGGCTTCCAACTCTCGTTTCTCTTTGATTTGTTTGGCCTTCTCTAGTGAGTAGCGTCCGTCCATTCCCGCATCCTTCAACATGTTCTTCAGATGCTTAATCTTCGCTTTCGGTGTGTCATACGGAGCCAGCTCTCGAGACCACACCTTGCGAATACCACATTTGACCAGCCATCCTTGCAACCGCTTGATTTC